CTCAGGGGCTCAGGGCGCAGGGGCCCGGCAGGAGGGCGCGGCGGCTGCGGGCTCGGCTCTCGGATGAGCGCGGTGGCCATCCCGCCCTCCGGGAACCAAGTACCAGCCCAATAAAGTTAGCCCGACCGGTCGTCGAGAAAAGATAAAAAGGTGAAGGAAGGAAGAAAGAACGGAAAGGAGACCCGAGGTTTGTGTCTGATGAAGTGACAACATGCTTCTGGAGTAATGAGGTTGCGTTACTTGGTCACCAAGTGTGAGGCTTTTGCTATGGACGCGCAGTCCCCAGTTCTAATTTTCCGCAGCTCAATCCAGTTAAGTCTTTCATCGTCCTCAATAAACAACCCCTGTGTGTTAGTTTGTAGATTCCAATAATACCTCGAGATAACCACCCTCGGGACCCGCAGCTCCGCCCACCCGCCTCCGGCTGGGCGCTCTGGGGTGGGGGTGGGTAGGGGTGTGCCCTGCCCCCCTTCAGCGGCTAGGGGTCTGGACTGGTTGCAGTTTTCACAGTGCACCCTGCTCCGAAGGGCATCTGTGAGGCGGCAAAGCTAACGTTAGCAGCGAGTTTAGCGGTCAGTCCTGGTACATGTAGTATCTGGTTCCCGGGACAACGAGGTGCGATGTGCTGAATAAATTAATTGGGGTTGGCTCATTTTCTCTTTTGTTCCTATGGGTTACTGTTACATGGCCTGTGGCTGGTTTGTTTAAAGTTTAATTTTCCCTGTATCAAAATAGAAAGGGCTTAATGTGACCTTAAATCTGTAATTCACCAACATGTTTTATTATTAAGAGCTTCATTGGTGTTCATATGAGTTTTGAGCAACATAAAATCATCTTCATTTTAAGTCCCATAATAAGTAAAATCTTTTAAAATGCGGATTAAAAACATCATACCTTTTTTGAAAGAAAAATAACGTGTTCTTGAGTGAAAATCCGAAGGTATTGGTAAACTTTTTTCTCTCCTTTATGTCTTTACCTAAGAGCTATTGTACTCATACTTTGAAAGGCATTTTAACATACACATAAGTCACACTTTAATGAGTCCTATCATAATTATTTCTTTTTGAAGGGGTTTGTATGCTATTGTAAATATATTTTATGTTATTGATTCAGCAATATCCTTATTATATATTTTAAGAGTTTAAAAACGTATCCCATGCCTAGTTTTTATTGCGAAAATCTATTGTTTGGAGATGCCGTGTTTACTATGTCTGAATCAGAACCAAAAATGGGATTCTAGGCTTGAAAAACAGTGTGGTGCCTACACAGTGACTTGTCACATATTGTATTAATATGTATAATTTGAATTCCCCTTTGATTTCTGAGTACAAGTTATTGGAAAAATATCAAACAGAGCCATCCTTTTATGTGGCAGGACTCTCCCTGGTGCTTTGGGTATTTTATTTTGAACAGGTTTCCAGAATATCCTGTTAGTCTGAGAAAAAAAGTCCAATATAGGTCCCAGCTTCTGGAGTGACTTCTTGGTCACTTTAGAAAAGCTGACTACAAAGACAGGGGGAAAAAAACCCCAGCCTTATCCTTTTCAAAGGGACAAACGAAATAATAGCTATGAAGTACCCTGAAAAGTAAAATGTGCTACAAAAATATCAAGTCTCCAATAAAAAGTAAATACAAGTGACATGGCTGCCTGGGATTTGGACTTAAATTGAGCTTCTGTGCTCCCTGTTGTAGGACACTTAAATCCCCTGAGGCTCACAGGGCCACTAAGAACCTTGTGGGCAGTTTTAGGAAACTGATGGGGCTGTGGGGAGAGTGAGGCTGCTTGCTTAGTGTGAGGCCCTATGCAGGAGCTTTGGTTGCATTTTCACTTGTAATGCTCAATAAAAGTGTATGACAGCACCTTCTGTTCTCATTTTGCAGAAGGGAAAACTGAGGCTCAGAGAGGCTCATGTCACAAAAGTGTCAAGTTGTAGAACCAGGGATTAAAAAAACAAACACCGATCAATCGATGTGGTGACGTCGAAAAAAAAAAATAAAAAAATAAAAAAACAAACAGAACTCAGTGGTTTAAATCTATTTTGAAACAAAAAGAAAAATGATATGTAACATTCTAATTGAGTCTGTAAACTTCTAAAGTGCAGTTTACAACAATGGTGCTTATCTGAAACCAGATCTTCTGTTGAGATCCCTTCAACTATCCTGCAATAGCAAAGAACATAAACTTGTGCCTTTACTTACAGAATGGAAACAGTTTTGTTTTTCCCCTCTAGAGATGGCAAATCCTGAGGTCGTTACAAATAGCTGTAGCTCTCAGCAGGAGGAAAATGGCTGCACGTTTAACCAGAATACATCTCCCTCTGAGGAGCTTCTATTAGAAGACCAGATGAGGCGAAAACTCAAATTTTTTTTCATGAATCCTTGTGAGAAATTCTGGGCTCGAGGCAGAAAACCATGGAAACTTGTCATACAAATTATAAAACTTGCAATGGTGACTATCCAGGTGAGTACCTCAGGTCAGAGGTTTGTTAAAAGCATCTTTAAATAACAAAGAGGCCCATGGCTAGTGTTTTTCTTGTTTTTTAAAGTATGTTTTTATTGATTTCAGAGAGAGAGGAAGGGAGATGGATAGAGAGATAGGAACATATATGATAGAGAAACATCCATCAGCTACCTTCTGCATGCCCTGCCCCTCTCCCCCCACTGGGGATCAAGCCCCAAACCCAGGCATATGCTCTTGATCAGAATCGAACCCAGGACCCCTCAGTCTGCAGGCCAGCACTCTATCCACTGAGCTAAACCAGCCAGTGGTTTTTATAACTTTGAACTGCATGCATAATGGGGAGCAATAAATAAGGAAACATGAAATCTTAAACCCTTCTCTCTTAAATATTTGTGAAAGAAGACTTTTAGGTTTTTTTTCTTACCTTTTTCCTTTTCATCTTTCCTTAAGTTATCATTTCAGCCACATAATCCAATTAGTTTTCAGGAAAAGAAAATTTTAATATTTGGCTTCCAGTGGAGAGGTTTCTGAATCCACCTTGGAAACTAGCTGTTGTCCAATCAGAAGAGCCTTTTCCTTCCTAGTTAGTTTCCTGGGAATTTCTCTTCAGACACTTCAGGGGTTTCTGTAAGGCAAGTACCTGGATTCTCTGTGATCATGGGAGTCCTGTCGTGGGAGAATCAGAGTTAACTAAAAAGGAGTAGTATAGGTGGTGAGTGGAATATGACACTTCATTTTAGGTGATGTTAAGAATCTCATTTCCTTGGTCTTTCTTAACATTTTTTGGGGGAAACAAAATTTTGTGATTATTTATATTTGTGATTTACTCTTGTGTAGAAATGTTTTTTGTTTTTTTGTGTTTTTTTTTTTTTTTTTGCTGCTGAGAGCAATTATCTTTCATTAAGAGCAAATAGGCAAAAATAAAAGTAGATTTTAATAGGGGAAAGAGATGTTTAATTAGTACTTTCTCTTTTTGGTGAAAAAACAACAACAAAAAATAACCCAACAACCCGTAACTAAATAAACAACTCATATTCAAGGAGAAAAATATTTTAAACCCTAAAGTCACTAATCTTAACTGGTTATTAAGAACAAATGCTTGCTCTAACTGGTTTGGCTCAGTGGATAGAGCATTGACCTGTGGACTCAAAGGTCCGGGGTTCAATTCCGGTCAAGTGCATGTACCTTGGTTGCCGGCACATCCCCAGTGAGGAGTGTGCAGGAGGCAGCTGATCTATGTTTCTCTCTCATCTATGTTTCTGGCTCTCTATTCCTCTCCCTTCCTCTCTGTAAAAAATCAACAAAATATATTTTTTTAAAAAAGAACAAATGCTTAAGATTGTTAGAAGCTAAGGGGATTTCTATAATCATATGAAGTTGGTAGAATTCTTGCATATGTTTTTCTGTTGGTGAGAGTAATGATTTCTCTTTAAAAGTAAATGGTTGAACATAAATACTTTCTACTTAGAATGAGTGCTGTGTTTTAGGCTAAACATTGTATAGCCATCATCATGTTCAGTTCTTAAAACAAATCAGAGAGAGTGGTATTCCCATTTCACAGACTAGAACACTGAGGCTTAGTGTGTTAAAATAGCCCATCATAGACAGGAAATGAAGAGCACAACTGAAATTCAAACTCAGAATTATTCCCTCTAAGATTTATTATCTTAATTATTCCTTAATCTTTTAGGAAGCTTATCTAACCTTCCTGTGTTTCCTAGAGTGGTCAAGAGAAGAATTGACCAATGGTTTAAAATGTTAAGCTCGTTAGTAATAAACATGTGAAAGGTGTTTAGGTAAGTTTTTGAAAGAAACTGAGGTTTCTCAATTGAGATGTTTCCATAATTTATATCTGAGCAATCAAGCAAATATTACATAAAGACAACTTTGTAATTGATCAATAACGGTGACTTGGTAATAGATTTCTTCTTTAGGGAAAAGAAGGTGGTATTTCTGTTAAGTTGGAGCTATTGTGTCTCGGTAACAAAAGAAAGATGTGCACAATGATAGGGACCTTACTAAAGGTTTTTTCTTCCCCACTTCCTGGCTCAGTCTCTGAATTATAGCAGTTCTGTCCTAGCCTCCTGTCTCCTAGGCCCATAAGGACAAGGACTGTTGCCTCCCGTTGTATCTTCAGTCTCTAGCTCAGTACTGGCACGTGGGAGGTCCTCATGTATTTGAATGAATTGGTAAGAATGTGTTTGCGAATTCTCTGGAGGCTTTTTCGTCATCAGCGTCAATAGATGTGAAATCCCTGGAATATCAAACTGCCGTCTTATTGGGATTTAAGTAGGACTTTGAGCTGAAAGAGGATCTTCCGTGAGGGGGTTGAGTTAGGTGGAGAGAGATGACATGTGTAGGGTATAAGCATACATTTACAAAGGGAGAAGGGACGGGAAAAGACTTGTCTACTCTATTTTTCCCGATCAGAACCTGGGTTGTGCACTTGGATTTAGTCTGTTAGATGGCTCCAATTTTAACTATACACTTTTGGGTAATTCGACTTGGAAAAGTTATTTAGCTTATCTGAGCCTGTATGTACTCATCTTGTAAAATAGGTACATTAGGAACTATACTATGGGATTGGAGTGAGGAAAGTTGCTGGAATAGAGTAATGGCCCATGGGTGCTCAGTGTTCTTCCCTTTTCCATATACAATACACCCTGCCTCATTCTGGGATCCAAGTCAGAATGTATGTTCTAAACTACGTGCACATACTTTAGAAAATTCACTTGAAAGACAAGTAAGGCCTTTATGTCATGCGTGGGCGCGAGTGTGTGTGTGTGTGTGTGTGTGTGGTGTATGAAATAGAGATAGATTAAGGTGGTTTGGGAGGGAAGAGAAGGTGAAAGAGACTTGGAGTAAAGTAAGGTTTGGGATATGATTGACAGACTTTATGTTACCATGACAGCAGTTCAGGTAAACAGTCCTTTTTTTGCGTGTGAACAACTGGTTTCATGTGGGTCAGTCCTGCATGAACATTAAGGATATGTAATATTAATATACTTTAATTTAGAGATAAGTTGAAAGAATACTTTTATATTGGGTCTTATTGTAACAGTTTTGGTAATTAGACCGAGGAATATAGTTTGTTTGTAGGACTTAGACTTATTTAAGGTATTTCTTACATTACATTATATACCTTCTTCAAGACCTTCTTGATGTCTTACAGAATTCAGCATTACACTCTTCTACTTGCTGTTCAGGCCCCTTCACCATTTCTTCTGCTAATGTTTCTTCTCAATGTTCCTCTACTCGAATTATGTCCCTTCAAAGCGCTAAATTCTGGGCTACCTTCTTAGCTCCTCAAATGTCCTTTGCCAAAGTTCTGCACATACTTCAGGGTTTCTATCATGCTTTCTTTAAGTGAACCTCCCCATGTTGTAGCCAAAAAGTGACCTTGCTCCTCTGAACACCTGAAGAACTCCTGAAGGACTTACCTGAACTCCTGAAGCTTTTGATGGGAACAATGCCATAGATGAGATCAGATGTTAAAAAAAATGTTGAAAAGATGCAAAACCACTTCCTTTTACCTTAGAACTAGAAACCTACCTTATCTTTAAGGACAAATTAATTCATAGCTATCAAAGATTAATTTCTATGGGACATATTCAGGATTAATTAGACACTGAATCTTGAATAGATAAATTGATTATTATATGGAGACCTTTATTTTGATGCTTTTTCACCCTCTAACTTTTTCCTTTTTTCCCCCTTAAGCTGGTCTTTTTTGGGCTAAGTAACCAGATGGTGGTAGCTTTCAAGGAAGATAACACTATAGCATTCAAACACCTCTTCCTAAAAGGATATGTGGACAAAGCAGACGACACCTATGCAGTTTACACACAGAGTGATGTATACAGTCAGATCATCTTTGCAGTGAACCAGGTAAATCAAGTATGGCTTTTTTTTTTTTTAATGATAGATACTTAAATGGAATTGGCTTGATTTTCCCCTGTCAGGGGTGCATGTGCATTCTTTACTTGGGAGAAAGAACAGACTGAAAAAACAGTTAGCAATGTACGTAATAGAGACTGACATTCAGATGGAGAAGGGTGAACATTTCTGTAATGTATAAATGGCATGTATAAAATAATTTTTAAAATGTTTTTAAAATATTGCCAACCAACTTTTACAAAACTATAAATTGAGAAGAGTTTTTGGTCAGTAACACAGAGACAGAAACTTGAAAGACTTAATTAAAAGAATCAAACTAGGGCTTGTATGAGAGCCTCAAAGGTTTAAAATTATTAACCACGACGCTGGTAGTAAGTAGTCATTAATCCTCAGAGTTTATAGTTTCAGAGGCCCTTAATACTTAATGAGAATGTTCACTTTGCAAAGTATATATAGCAACCAAGACCTGAAAGTTCACTTAAAAAATAAATAAGGCCTTTTATGTCATGCATGACAATGATCTTATTGTGACACGGATTAACTGCCAAAAAAGTAAGCTTGTTTTTCATCCAGATGAGTCAAATCCCTATTCTGCGTTTGTAATCAATTTGTTTTTGCTATAAATAGTACTTTCTCAAGATCCTAAATCTCTTATTTGGTAGGTATCATTGAAAGTGTTCTTTTTTTTTTTTTTTTTTTAAATCCTCATCTGAGGATATTTTTCCATTGATTTTTAGAGAGAGGGAAAGGCGGAGAGAAATATCAATGTGAGAGAAACACATGGATTGGTTGCCTCCTGTATGAGCCCCCACCAGGATCCGGTCAGGTACTTGTCCTTGACCAGATTCGAACCCGGGACTGTTCAGTCCGCAGGCTGATGCTATACCCACTGAGCAAAACGGGCTATGGTTGGAGAGTTCTTGAAGTCAGTATTTCCAAGCTGGCTTAGTTTCAAAATTATTACAACTCTCCTCCAAACAATTGTTATAATGAAACCATGTCTCTTCATTATCTAGAGATAATCTCTGCACACTGAAATGATAAATTGCTAAGATAGGATATGTAATTACGACACCGAAGCTTTCTGTTAGCATTCCGATTGCAAGAATTGCCCCCAAATCTACTGTAATAGAAGTAAGCTGTATACGTTGTTAAACAGAATTATGTCCTACAATTTGTAAGGAAAAAATATATAATGCTGGAAATATTCAGTTTTGAGATTTTTGTTTTAAGCTTATTAAGTTTCTTTAAAGCTGTTTTGAACCAAATTGGTAGTTTCTTTGTTTTGTGTGTTTTTTGGGGGGCAGAGGGGATAGAGGCCAGAAGCAAATAGTTCATTAAAATTCCTCCTAAAATGTATTTACCTTCATTAGGAGACTTAAACTTAGTTTTGAAAATATAGTGCTACTTGGCCTGGGGCCAGCATGGCTCGGTGGTTGAGCATTGACCTATGAACCAGGAGGTCATAGTTCAATTCCCAGTCTGGGCACATGCCTGGATTGGGGGCTCTATCCTCAGTGTGGGGCGTGTAGGACACAGCCGATCAATGATTCCCTCTCATGATTGATGTTTCTATCTCTCCCTCTTCTTCCCTCTCTTAAACCAATAAAAATGTATTTATAAAAATACAGTACTATTTGGCATTCAGGCCATTCTATTTATCAGATTTCTACATTCTTTTTAGAACTGCATGTAGATTCCTTATTCTAATATGTAAGTAGAAAATAATAATTGGGGTGGTTTACCTTAGGCAAATGATTGCTTTCCATCTTCCAAGCAACTAGCAGGCAGTTTTACTAGTAGCTAAAGATAAAAATATCTTGATCATAATTTTCATGAATAACTAGAGTTTTTGTGGTTAATGAGGCCAGTCATTCTACATGGCTCCAGATAACTGAAAAGGGACAGTATGGACTGGTGTTAAAGAAGGAGCTTTGTTTGTTGTAAGGAAATATCCTGATAGTTGAGATGATAGTCCCTGAGGGGAACTGACAGATGGGACGGTGGCTTCTCGGCTCTTAAAGGTATTTCCATGACTAATTACTTATCCGGCAGGGATTAGCCCCCAGATGTCCTCTAAGGAGACCATCTCTAGGCTCATTCTGATCCAATGCTGGTTATAACATCAGCTTTGTTTATTATATATGCTCATATATTTGAATGTCAGAACACTAGTTATTTTGTTTTAAATGATACCTTGGCTTTCCTCAACCAATTGTGGGTCATCTTTACTGGGTTCCTTTCTTTCCTCTGCCCCTTACATTTGAGCAGTCCCCAATGTAATGAGTGACGTCCACAATGTCCTGTCCTCAGCAGCCCTGCTCAGCTCCTGTAGACTCAAGCCTATGGCTTCTTTTATGGAGTTAGTCCTTCTCCTATTTGTTCTTCCTCTCTTCCTGCTGCCTCTGTTTTCCTAGCATTATTGTCTTTTCCAAAGAACCTTGCCTTCTCTTGATGTGCCTGAAATAGATTACTGCCCTCAATATCTTTTACCTTCTTTTTCATGGAAAGGACTTTTTAATCTCTTATGCCCTCCCTGCTCTCCTATCCCCCTTATAAAACTACCATTTGGCTCAGAGTGGCTTTAGAAAGACTTAATGAATACACTATTTCTTTGAATAGAAAACAAAAATCTCAAAATGGAATATCACCAGCATTACACTATTTCCCCCTATATGTAAGACATCATGCTATTTAATAATTTATGCCACTTTTATTATCATAGATTTTGGCTCATTTTCCCAATCTCAATACCCTAATCACACATATTATCTAACTAGAGGCCCAGTGCACGACATTCGTGCACTGGTGGTGGTGGGAGGGGGGTCCCTCAGCCCAAACTACACCCTTTAGCAGTCCAGGAGCCCTCGGGGGATGTCTGACTGACGTCCCTAGTGCTGCTGCGGAGGCAGGAGAGGCTTCCCCCTACCTCTGCTGCACTCGCCAGCTGTCAGCCCGGCTTGTGGCTGAGCGGCACTCCCCCTGTGGGAGCACACTGACCACCAGGGGGCAGCTCCTGCACTGAGTGTCTGCCCCCTAGTGGTCAGTGCGTGTCATAGCGACCAGTCGTTCCACCATTCAGTCAATTTGCATATTACCCTTTTATAATATAGGATGGTTTACTGTGCATAGATTAGCTCTAGCAAATGAAGAGCCACTGCAGCATTATAGTAATATTTTACCTCACTATTTGTTTGACACCTATTCCAGGCCTAATACTGTTCTAAGTACTGGGGTTAGAGCAGAGGACTTGATAAATTCCTAGCCCTGTGGAATTTACATTCTAATGGAAAAGATGGCTTTTAAACAAGTTTAACCAAAATTATTTGATTTTATATAGTGATGAGTGCTGTGAAGTAAAATAAAGTAGCAAAAGGCATTAATAGTACAGGGTGGTCAGAAAAGGCCTCTCTGAGAACTTACAGTGTGAGGAAGAATATTTCAGGCTGAACGGGTAGCAACAGCAAGGCCCTGCCTGCCAGGAAGCACTGAGTAAGTTTCAGGAAAACGCAAAGGAGGCAAGTGTGACTGGGCCAGGAAAGGAGCTATGAAGTTTACTCTGAGAGAGCCAGGAAGCCATGGAAGGAGGGAGAGACTCTAACATACACTAGCAAAGGCTAAGATTTATTCCCTCAAAATTCTAGCATCTGTTATGTATCAGATATTGTTTTTGCTACATAAATACAGTAGTGAACACACAAAGTCAAGGAGGTCATATTCTATTAGGAAGAGAACAGCAATCTACACCAATTAAAGAGAAATATGTAAATTAACCATCACTTCAGAATGCCCACCAGCCAATCAGGGGTGAGTATGCAAATAAGTGGGCTAAAGATGACAGTGGCTACGGAGCCAGCCGGAGCGGGCCTGAGGCTTGGGTCACCCCCAGCGACAAAGGAAGCCAAGCTTCCTGCCCGCCCTGGCTGGCCTCTGAAGGAGGGACCTGTGGGCGGCAGCCACGGAGCTGGCCTGAGTGTGTGGGAGCCTTGGGTCGCCCCTGGCTAGCCGCTGAAGGAGGGACCTGTGCGTGGTGGCCACGGAGCTGGCCTGAGTGTGTGGGAGCCTTGGGTCGCCAGGGGTGACCCAAACTTCCTGCCTGCCCTGGCTGGCTGCTGAAGGAGGGGCCTGCAAATGGCCCTCAGCCCCTTACCCAGACTGACCACGCCCTCCCAGCAGGGACCCTCACCCCATGGTGGTGTGGCTGGCCTGCAAACTGCCTCAGCCCCTCACCTAGGACACCCTGCAATCTGAGGGGTCCCAGATTGGAGAGGGTGCAGGCTGGGCTAAGGGACCCCCCCCCCCATACATGAAATTGTGCACCGGGCCTCTCTAATACTATATAATAAAAGGCTAATATGCAAACTGACCAAATGGCAGAATGACCGATCGCTATGATGTGCAATCACCACCAGGGGGCAGACGCTCAATGCAGGAGCTTTCCTCGGTGATCAGTATGCTCCCATAGAGGGAGCGCTGCTCAGCCAGAAGCCGGGCTCATGGCTGGCAAGCGCAGCAGCAGTGGGAGTCTCTCCTGCCTCAGTGGCAGTCAGACATCTCCCAGGGACTCCTGTGTACCCTCTCACAATCCGGGACTCCTTGGGGGATGTCAGAGAGCCAGTTTCAGCCCAATTGCAGGCCAGGCCGAGGGGCCCCAATGGTGCATGAATTCATGTAGTGCACTGGGCCTCTAGTAAATAAATAAATAAGGATATCATCTGTCAGTTGGTTATTTGTTTAAGGTAAAACAAACAAACAAAAAAGCAGGCAGAGTGAAAGGGTGGAGATGGTCTTCTCTGAGAAGGTGATACAGGTGAGCAGAGAGCAGACTAAAGAGCAGTGAGGCAGCCCATGATGATCTCAAGGAAGAAGCTTCCAGAGAGAAGCAACAGAGTCTCAAACAGGTTCATGTCTTAGGTGTCACTATTCTAAGGGTTTTACGTGCTTTAATTCACTTACTCTTTGTGACTGTGGTAAGGGAATATTTGTAACAGCCCCATGATTTCTTTACAAAGACGAGACTGTGGTGAGAGTCTGGATTGGAAGCAGGAAAATCGGGTTAACCAGGTGGGACATGATGGAGGAGGGTGCTAGCAGTGAAGGTAATGAGAAGTGGTCAGGTTTGGGATATAATCAGAAAGTAATGCATGATTTTCTGATGGATTGGAAATGGAGTATGAGAGAAGAAGACTAAAGGATCATTTCCAAGTCTTGCCTGGAAAGTGATTGACTTATGGAGTTGTTTGTGAAGAAGAAAATTATTGTAGAAAGAGACAAAATTTTACCTGTTTGTCCACCCATGTTTAAGATTTCTCTTAGACACCACAGGTAGGTTGTTACCCACTTGTATATGGAGTCTAGTGGAGAGGGCAGGGCTGGAGAGAAATTTGGAAGTCATCAGCATATAGATAATATATAAAACATGGGACTGGCCGAGATCACCCATGGAGAGGATGTGGTGAAAGAGGTTGAAGACTGAATGCAAGGCACCCTGAGATGTAGAGGTTGGGAAGAGGAGATTCAGCTAAGGAGACTGAGAGGAGCAGCCTGGGTCCCAGAAGACAAGTGGAGAAAGTATCGCATGAAGGGGAAAGCACTCACCTGCACCAAGCACCGTGGAGAGGTTACGTTAGGTGAGGACCGACAACCAGGCACGAAGCACTGAGAACTGGGAACTAAGTGTCGGATTTGGTAATGTGCTGCCTCCACCAGGCCCAGCTGAGAATCAATTCCATGGGCCCATATTATCAATGATTCCCTTCAATGATCACAGCATGTTTCACAGGCATCCTTTAGTAGGATTATTTATCTGTGTCTATCCCACTAAATTATTAATTCCAAGAGACAGATACCACATCCTGATCTTTGTATCACTAATTGTGCAAGTGACATTGTTCAAAATAAGCTCTGAAACCCTTCATTTTGTGTTTTTCATCCACAGAAATCCACTAAGGGGTTTAAGTGGACAGTTATTCCAAAATACCATGTGATTCTCATTTGTAAAAGTCACATTTTGTTTTAGAACAGTGGTCCGCAAACTGCGGCTCGCAAGCCACATGCGGCTCTTTGGCCCCTTCAGTGTGGCTCTTCCACAAAATACGGACTTCTGCACATGGGCCACGAAGTTTCAATCGCACTGTACGTGCGCGCCCGCACATGGTATTTTGGGGAAGAGCCACACTCAAAGGGTCAAAGAGCCGCATGTGGCTTGTGAGCCGCAGTTTGCCGACCACTGTTTTAGAGGATTCGCCAGGATGGGATTATTGCTAGGAAAATGACTATATTCTTACAAAAATAAATATTAAAAAGGTATTTTTTAAATAAAAAGTTTTGCTGGTTAGCCTGGAACAATTATATCCCCCTTCCTGTATTGCAGTAGTGAAGCAAAACTCTGACCATACAGGATGTAGGTCTAAGATAAAATAAATTTGTATTCACACTCAATGTAAAAGCCAGTTCCTGAACATAGTTCTCTAAAGGAGGAAAGAAGACTATGTAGGTTAAGCCTTTAATTTTGCGGATAAGGAACCAGAAGCTCCAAAAAGTTTGTGATTTGCCTGAGGTCATGGATTTGACACTTGAACTCAGAACTCAGGTTCTCAAGTGCTCTTCACTCCTCTGCTGCCGGGGGCGCAGTCCATGCCACTTACTCTGCGTGTTGGTGGGAGGGTCTCCACCCAGGGCAGAGGTGGGAGCCTGCCAGTTTCAAAGGCAGGGAGGGAGCAGGATCATGGCTTCACTTCAGCCCGGGCTGGCATTCCCACATTCTGTTTCTCTTTTTGGCTGAAGTACTTGCAGCTACGCAACATCTCAGTCGGGAACCACGCTTACGAGGATCAGGGCGCGGAGCAGTCCGGTATGGCAATCTGCCAGTACTTCTACAAGCAAGGAAACATCTGTCCTGGAAACGATACCTTTGACATTGATCCCCAAATTGAAACTGGTAATGCTCTTCTATATGCTGGAACTTCCACTTTCCATTCCTTGATTTATCTTTCAAATCAGTAATTTCATCTCTGAAAACGTTGATTTGGTCTGTGCTAATTAATAGGTCATCTGACAAACCATATACAAGTTGCGTGTCAGTCAGGTACTGTCCCACGGTTTATTATTATTATTACCGTCTTATGGAAGACTACAGTATGGCGCAGAGAGGTAAGGTGGAGCTAATAAGTGGCAGAGCTGGAATCTGACCCAGGCTGTCTGGGCTCTTAAGCACTATATTCCACTGCCTCTCATGCTGGATTAGCTCATTAAATAGGCAGATATTTTCCTTACAAAAAATTATGCTTGCAAACTCTTGATATGTGTCCAGCTCCCTCTCGTTACTAGCATCTCACTATTCAGTATCTACGGCGGTGGAAGGTGGCTTTTGGGGGGGGGGGGGGGGTAGGTTGGGGTAGGAATGAGAGCCAGAATTTAGAAGAGCACAGCTTATCCTTATTAGCAAAGTGTTATCTGCAAGTTGTACCTGAAACATTAGCTCAGGACTAAATGTTAAAAAATAGGTGTTAATCTTATTCATCAATGTCACCTCTGTCATTTAATAAAAAGAATAAAACATATTTGAATGCTTTCATCAATAGTGACTGGGACTTTCTTTGGGAGAGGAATAGTAAAATATTACAGTACTGATTAGTGAAAACCTTCTAAGATGCTATTTTCCTTTAAAAATGCTGACTGAGGAAAAATAGTCAACACATAATATTAAAAAAGTAGATCCTTTATGCTTAGAAAATTTTTTTCTTTGACACTGCAAGTGCTTCAAGCCTGTTTAGATACAATTTTTAAAAAAGGGGGAGGAAGGTCTCCAAGTTTAGGTTTAAAGCCAGGAGGGAAGATAGCATTCTATAGAAGACTAATGAGATCGGGTTCAGAACTTTTTCCACTCCCACCCACCGCAGAAATGTAGCCACTTATGTCTTAAAAACAAGTGAGTCGTTGTAACCAAGAGGTCTGTATAGATGTCAACCCTTTAAAATCTTAATTCAGAAAAGTACTAGAGTCTGCATATTTAGTTTTGAATATCTATATATCTTTCCAAGATGTAGTTTTATGTATTTTGGCTGCCGTATTATGTTTTGTTCCTTTCTGTGGCAGAATGTTTCTCCGTGGAGCCAGATGAATCTTTTTACATTGGAACACCAGAAGAAAATAAACTCAACCTAACACTGGACTTTCACAGGTGAGGGAGGCAGGCGGGAGCGTGACTCATGTTTGTGAGTGTGTTTTCACTGCACTGAAGTCTCTTCTGTTTCCTAGACTCCTAACAGTGGAACTGATGTTTAAACTGAAGGCCATTAATCTGCAGACTATTCGTCATCACGAGCTCCCTGACTGTTACGACTTCACTCTGACTGTAAGTACGGGCTGGGCTGATTTGGTTCCAGTCCGGAGAAACGTGTTTTATCTACTTATATGTTTCATCTACTTGCATTAAGGCATGACCAAATGTATAGGATGTTTCGGCTTGAATGTGCCTAAGGGAGTGTTGGAACAGCTAGCTCTATTTTGTTACAATAACTTGTTTACTTGTTAATTAATTATCTTTCTTTTGTACTCCAACCTAAGTTCTATGAGGGCAGGGACCTTGTCTTGTTCATGGTTGTGTCTTTAGTACCAAGGTGTCTGGCACAGGGTAGGCGTTCAAATACAAAAGGAGAAGAGTTTTGTAGGTTCAGCGTCTAGCAGTCCGTGGCTGTGTGCTTAAGTCCTTGTCAAGGGTTCTTGCTAACTGAGTTTCCTTGCCATGAATGAACGTTTGTAACCTTTGGGTTATTGCTCACAGTGCCTTCCTTGTGCTGCCTCTGAATGCTCTGGTGAGTTTCTCCCCCTTCAGCCCACCCTATCACTTCCATGTTCTCCACACTCAGTTGTAAATGGAGCTATTAATGCTCTCTAGAGAGCACAAGACGCCTCTCATGTGAGTCTGTCACCTCACGAGGATCAGAGTCAGTAACCCAATGCTGGCTGGTCATATGCAGGAAAGCATTTTATACAACTTGCCTTCATCTGATACAAATTTCTGTTACTTCAGTAGTAGTCTGTATCAAAAGCTATTTCCTCAGTACTCAAATAATTGGCTGTAAGAAATCAAGTTCTCACAGCATGGAGGGACCTGGAGAGTATCATGCTAAGTGAAATAAGTCAGTCAGAAAAAGGTAAGTATCACATGATCTCACTTATATGTAGAATCTAAGTAACAAAATAAACTGATGTACAGAGTGGATCCAGAGACATGGATGCATGGAACAGATTGCGGAATCTCAGAGGGACGGGCATAAGGGGGAAAAAGAAACATATGTAATACTTTCAACAGTAAAGAATTATTAAAAAAAAGAAATCAAGTTATCAGAGAGTGAAGTTAAAAAATGTTCAGAACATAGTCTAATGTAGTAATCCTATATAATAAAAGGCTAATATGCAAATCGACTGAACGGTGGAACGACTGGTCACTATGATGCACGCTGACCACCAGGGGGCAGACGCTCAACACAGGAGCTGCCTCCTGGTGATCAGTGTGCTCCCACTGGGGGAGCGCCACTCAGCCAGAAGCCAGGCTCACAGCTGGCGAGTGCAGTGGTGGTGGTGGGAGCCTTTCCCGCCTCCATGGCAACACTAAGATTGTCCAAATGATGGCTCAGGCCTGCTCCCCTCAGAGAGCCTACACTGTCCATCAGTCAGACATCCCCTGAGGGCTCCCAGACTGTGAGATAGCACAGGCCAGGCAGAGGGACCCTCCCCTCCAAGTGCATAAATTTTTTGTACCAGGTCTCTAGTCTATCTATAATAATAAAAGCATAATATGCTAATTAGACCAGACGTCCTTTTGGACGTCCTTTCTTCCAGACAAAGCTGCAGCGGGCAGGGGCTGTGGCAAAGGCAGCAGAAGCCCCTGGCTGTGGTGGCAGTGGGTGGGGGCTGGGGCCAAGGCCCTTGCATGAATTTCATGCATTGGGCCTCCAGTCCTATCTTATAAAAAAGTAATATGCAAATTGACCATCACTCTAACACACAAGATGGCTGCCACCATGTGGACATAAGATGGCCAGCAGGGGAGGGCAGTTGTGGGCAATCAGGCCAGCAGGGGAGGGCAGTTGAGAGAGACTAGGCCTGCAAGGGAAGGCAGTTAGGGGTGACTGGCCCTGCAGGGGAGGAGAGTTGGGGGGAACCAGGCCGGCAAGGGAGGGCAGTTAGGGGCAATTGGGCCAGCAGGGGAGCAGTTAGGCATCAATCAGGTTGGCAGGGGAGTAGTTAGGGGGTGATCAGGCAGGCAGGCAGAAGTGGTTAGGGGCAGGCAGGCAGAATTGGTTAGGGGCAGTCAGGCAGGCAGGCAGGTGAGCGGTTGGGAGCCAGCAGTCCTGGATTGTGAGACAGATATCTGACTGCCCACTGGGATTGGGCCTAAACGGGCAGTCAGACATCCCTCAAGTGGTCCCTGATTGGAAAATTATGCAGGTGGAGCTAAGGGACACCCCCCCCACCCCCGTGCACGAATTTTGTGCACTGGGCCTCTAGTCCTATCTAATAAAAGAGAAACATGGTAATTAGCGTACGACCGCTACCCTTCCCAACGTTCCTCCCCCCGCCTTGCCGGCCTCTGAGCTTGTAGTTTAAGAAACATTGTAACAAATATAGAAGCTAAACAAAACCCCAGAAACCTGCTTTCAGCCGGCCAGGATCTCAGAGCTGGAGTTATACATTGTTTCGATTATAGAACCTAAACAAACCAGATACCTCCTTTCAGCAGCAGAGGCCTCAGAGCTGGAGCCAGAGCTAAAGCTGGCCCAGAATAAAAAAAAAAGAAAAAAAGGAGCAGTTGGGAGCTTCAGT